ATATCCTTAAAAATATTAGTATCTGTAATTTTTTTATTAGTTAGTTAGATTTCATTTAGATTACTCGAAAAAAAAATAGTTATTTGAATGCCTTTTGTCTATAATGTGTGCGTACAGAAAGAGATGATAAACAGTYTGCTGATATCCTCATGAATACCATGGTTTTCTACTCATCATAATCTCTTGGTCGCTGAATAAAAGACATAAAAAATATTTTTATTTGTTAATATATAGAACTGCATGTGTCATAATTCATATTCATAATAATTTTAGTATACAAGGAAAATATTTATTTTTTAATAATTATTTTAATATAAATGTTGTAAAAACATCAAATGTAGATAATATTATATACATTTTATATCATTGATTTATTTATGTAAATGTGAACGACGCATTGGCCAACATTTTTAACTGTCACAATAATTAGTTCGTTCTATCATTCCATGTAATTTATTTTTACAACATAATTTTAATGACAACAATTTGGTATTTAGTGGTAGAGTGGTGCGAAGTATATAGAAAAGGGTACTTAATGTAAAATGGCTTTAGGCGATACAGTATAAATTCGCTTCTGAAATAAATATTTAAATAAGCATAATTTAATTATTACTTTTCTCGTACAGTAGCGTAGCTGTTATTACTAAAATAATAAATCTACTTTCTATGGAAATTTTTCCTGCAACTTTTTAATATCTGTTGAGTCAATAAAAACAATTTTGCAAATTATTTCATCCCAATATAATTGTTAAAATCGAATAATTATTTAYTGTCCATTTTTCGATATTATGTTATTTTGTAGTCAGTATCTTATCTTATCTCATTTYATATTATGTTTGTCTTCCATACCTATAGTTATAATTTTTTTTTTTATAAGATATCTTTTTATTTACCTAGCTGTACTATGACTTACATTTTTTTTTCAATCCCACAAGGTTTTTTCAAAAGCGAGGGTACAGTTCAGCGTGGGAGGAGTACACTATCACGGACGATCGGTTTGGTATACATACATGCCGGATACTGTGTTAGAAAATGCCAGAGATGTTGACATACAGTTACATAATCACGTTGGCAAGTACGTGAAAATCCAACTTTACTTCTACAGCAAATGGATAATGATCAGCGAAGTGAAGTTTGATTCCGGTGAGAACTCCATAAATTATAATTTATTTTTATATAATAAAATTCTAAGCTATGTGACAATCTAATTAAGAACACCGAACGCACAGTGCATGTTTTTTACACAAATTGTCCTTAAATAAAATGCATAATATTTTTCTACGCGTCTCAATTAGTAAAATAATTAATTATGGTTACACGGAGCCTTGAATAGGCAATTTAGCTACATAACGGTTGTGTACACGTTTCCGGTATTAATTGTTGTATTTTCTTAACCTGCCTGCGCAGATAAAATGAATGTATAAATAAACAATTATTTGTATTTTAATAACAAGCATGTCATTTTCACTCTCAACCTCCTCATGCTCCTAAACCACTAAACCTGCGTTTATAGGTTAAACAGTTAATTGTATAATAATTGCATATTATAGAAAAGTATTATTGGTTGTTGTTTTTGATATTAGCAGTATTCGACTAGATGTATAGTTATATACAAGCATTTTTTTTTTAAATATTTCGACGTGTTACGGATGATATAATTATATAGGTACACAGGTACAATATTATTTTTATTTTTTATGTACTATACAAGTATTTTGTATCAAAAATATTATCCTTCAATAGTGAGTTTCTTATAATCCATTGTCTGCATGTGTTGAAAATCACACAAATCGTTAATGCAAATAACAATTTTTAAACATGGTGATAGTTCAGGTAGTTTTATCATTTTACACTAAAACCATTATTTCCTATATTTTAAATACACAATAATTTCGTTTATTGAATGATTTTTTTTTTAATTATAATTATTTATGACTAAGCGTTAAAGGTTTACATGAAAAAAATAAACACAAATTTTATAAGGTTCACCTTGCCGCTCGCTTTTCATATATTATGGAATAAATGAATACTTTTCAAAATAACGAGTTTTTAATGTTGATACAATCGACGTGTAATTGTATGGACGCATTTACAGTGCTTAAACGGTGTATTATGTTAATGACAATTAGAACTTTAACTATGTAGAACAAATGTAAATCAAACCCAGGCACAACTGCACGTGACGTTAATATACGATCAAATAGAGCCCAATACAATATTATCATTACATTCTTAATACCATATGACAGACAACTGGCGTCTGCAAGTTGACGTCTTTGAATAATATCGTGAACGCTGGCAC